TCATATTGGTATAAATTAAATTGTCATTCTCCAAGTGAATTACATGGCGCAAATGGTATTGTCTTATAACTTCCCCCACAAGAAAGAAACGCTCCGTGACGAGCTGATTAAACTGTTGGTTCCCAGTTGTGCGATTACCACCAGGTTGCATAAAACCCTGAATATAAAAATTTTTTCGGTAGCGTTCCAATCGCGGATTGGACAAATCACTTTTTGGGACCAATATAATATCCAACTCACGCTGATGTTCAAGTACGTTAGTGTCGTTNTATCCTCATCATTATAATTTGTAAATTGAAACACCAAAAAAAGCGAAAACACTGCAATAACAAGCAATATCCATCGTTGTTTCATAATTGCGCTGTCGGTAGAGAAAATAAACACGAACGGAAAGAACAAGAGAAAAGAAGAGAAAAATATAGTTTTTTGTTTTATCCTCTGAGATTAAATCTTCTCACACAGAGGAAACATTTTTCATAGACGCAAGAAAAGGGTCAAGAAAGTGTGGTAAAGAAGAAGCCAATGGTTTCATTCATTAATTCAGTCCCTTCCAATTATTCCCACCCCGTCACTCATCCTTCAATACACAAACACACACAGAGAGAAAAAGAGAGAGAGAGAGATAAAAAAAAAGAGTGAGTGATTGAAAGAAAAAAAAAAAAGAGGAAAGCTCATGGAGCCACACGCACCCATTCTTTCATATATTTTTTTTNTGTTTTGTGCATAATTGCGCTGTCTGTAGAGAAAATAAACACGAACGGAAAGAACAAGAGAAAAGAAGAGAAAAATATAGTTTTTTGTTTTATCCCCTGAGATTAAATCTTCTTACACGGACGAAACATTTATCATGGACGCAAGAAAAGGGTCAACAAAGTGTGGTAAAGAAGAAGCCAATGGTTTCATTCATTAATTCAGTCCCTTCCAATTATTCCCACCCCGTCACTCATCCTTCAATACACAAACACACACAGAGAAAAAGAGAGAGACAGAAATAGAAACAAAAGAGTGAGTGATTGAAAGAAAAAAAAAAAGAGGAAAGCTCATGGAGCCACACGCACCCATTCTTTCATATATTTTTTTTTCCTACCCAGGCACCCCAGCAGCAGTGTCATTGAGGAATTTGAGTGAAACCTGCTGCTTCCTCTTGTTTACATTCTCAAATTGCTCCACCGTGGTGCAAATGGACTCCCATAGTTTCCAGAAAACAAGACCATGCCTGCTTTTGGGATCTTGCGACTTACAGCACGCTTCCAAAATAGTGTGAGCCCTGTCCATGTTACCAGTGCGCTTCTCCACAGCGGCCCACCAGAGGGACACCCGTTGGATGAACAGAGGCGTCACACCCCGCCCTCCCTCGAGTAGTCTGGTGCAGTACTGACGCACTGATTGGCTTCCCTGAAGTCTGAAAGTAACATCAAGGACAGCATCCAAGACACCCAATAAAAATGAATCGTCCCCAGCATTACTCCCCAAAACTAGTTGAAGACACTCCTGCGCAGCACTCACAGCAGTACCTGCGAGACCCAATTGAGATTCTAAGGTGACACAATTCAAAAGATATTCCACTGTTGCAACAGGACACGGGCGAATAGTTTTCAGGGCCACTTCAAATCCCAATTGTGTAAGCTCTCGGAGATGGTGAAGTGGCAGACGTTTCCCGAATGAAACACACAAACAACTCAAGTACTGCTGCAAAACATAGAGCATTGCCAAGGGGATTTCTTTAAAGGCGACCAGTGCTCGCTCAAACTCTCGAAATGCCTGGTTCATATTGCCACTATGCCAGAAACGACCAGCCACATAGCAAGCTCCTTCGGCGGTGTAACCAGTAGAATTGCCATATAATTCTGTGACCCGTTCTAGTTGTTCCTTGGAGTGGTGAAAGGCCAAATCAATAGCTAGAATCCATGCACGCATGTCCTTCTGTAAATGAGGCAATACAGAGCTCTTTGCTAGTCCCTTAGACCTAATTGTATTAGGTGTGCTAACTGCCTGAAGCCTCGAGAGAAAGTCATCCAGAGACTCTCCTGGACTTGTCATGAGCATAAACTCAAGAAACAGCCCCATTAAAAGAACATTACCAGTTTGTGAAGAAAAATTGACATGCCATGCACCTTCTCTTGTCACTGAAATTGCATCACCTTTACAGTTATTCTCCCAAAGAAAGCATGCATGAGACTCATAAAGCTGCGCCACTTCCGTGTCAATTACTTGAATTCCCGATGTGCATCGCGTAATTGCCTGTCGAAAGAGTGCACTTACATCACTGTGTCCACATCGTTTTTCGCACACCGCCTCTTGCAGTAACTCTGCACGCTTTAGCCACATTATAATATCGCTGGGGTTGTGTCGAAGCTGTAGTTGATTTAGTAAGAGCGGGTGCTGCTGCGTAAGTCGGCGGATATTATACAATGGGTCGGTCCCGCCTCCAGAAAGTTTCTCACAAACGCCCTTATAGGCCGCCCCATCAAGGGATTGAATAGAAGAATCCATTGCCAAGGAATCCATTATCTGATCTTCAAAGACGATAGCCATATTAAAAACCCTAAGAAAGATTGCTGCATCACCAGCATCCTCTAAAAGACTCCAAAACGTTTCACGAGCCCTAACAAACTCTCCTTGTGTTGTCAAAAATAAAGCATACGAAATTCTAAATTCCGCAGGTGACGCACAGTGGGTTACAGCCAAATCCACCAATTGCTCTACGAGCGCAAAATCACCAGTAAAGCACAGATCTTTCTTTTCAAAAGCCATACGTATAGTCTCCCAGAAGGTGGTGTCACTCATAAGGTCTTCATGAGGTCTGTCGTCGAGGAGAAACAACGCGCACTCCATTAGAAAATCACTTGTGTTACTTTTCTCCCACAGCATAAGAAAGTAATCACGCTGGTTTTCTGCACGCGTATCAAACAAAAGGTTCAACTGCCAAAGCTGTTTCGCTGACTCTGTGGGCACGTATGGCCGACGAAGCCACTGTTTCGCAAGTTTCCATACACGGTAGTGTTGCGTAGGTGGGAGAGCCTTCAGCGCACGAGTAATAATATTACGTGTCAAAGTAATACGTGGTGGTACAGATGCATCCATGACAAACTCAATAAAAGAAATCCATAAAAGCGGCATCATAGGTAGCTTTTCAACCGCTCTATCATAGATATCTCGCAGAGATCTAAACCACTCATGTATTGAAGTGAACTCCTTCGTGTGGTCTCGTCGGTATGCAATGTAGTTCATCCACAACTTGTACGAAAAGCCATTGGCGCGAATGGCACGTTCGTACGCAATGTTGGTCGCATTGGCTTTTGCTGTTCTACTACTATACTCCGAGACCTGAATACTGCGCACAAGCTGCAGCCAACACTTAACAGATGTTGGGTTGCGTAGCACCTCAAGCTCAAGGGCCTCCACAGCCAATGATCCCATCAATCACACCTATCCACAATAAAAACAGAATAAAATAGTAGCAAAGACACAAACAATAATAGAGATTATTCATTTACTGGAGTGATTAAAAAAAGAAAACAGGGAAAAACATTTTTAATACGTGGTTCGCAATAAGGCAACGTAGACAAAATATAAAAAGGCAATGATAATAATAGTAGTAGTAGTAGTAGTAGTAGTAGTAGTAGTAGTAGTAGTAGTAGTAGTAAAGAAGAGATTTGCAACAACCACAACAACCACAACAACCACAACAACAACAACAAGAAAGTAAATAAATAAATAACAGCAACTGAAAGAAAAAAAAGAAGCAAGAGAGTTATCTTAACACAATCTACTCCCTTGCCGAATGTTTGCCAATATCCCCCTTACCTTGGAGAGCGATACATCGAGAAGTTTTCTCGCGAACTCATCTGCTGATATTCCACTTTCCTGCAAGAACACGGATGCCTTTAGAAAAGAAACAGATGGGGCAAAAGAAACTGCCACAAGTTCCTTGGGTGCGTCTGTGCCTGCCAATTTCGTAGCCAACGCCACTGCCTTCTCACACAATGTGCATACGGGATCTTTTCCAACTGAAATATCTCTTTGACTGCATTGAACCACAAGTTCATCAACTTTTGAAAGAAATGTTAGAATCTGTTGTTTTTTGTTATTACGCAATGATCGCTCGATAGAACTCCATGTGGCTTTGTATCCTAATCCCTTGATGTCGGCAAACTCACCAACAACAATAACAGTAGCACTTAAACCAAGAATAAGGACTTCCTTTAAATCGTCCAACTCGTACTCAGCCGTACGACGAATCACAACATTTCTCAGACGTTCACTTAATTTAAAGGTGTATTTCTCCTCTGCACTCAAATGAGCAATAGTGTTGCAGATAGTTGTGCACCCACTGCCAGGACACCCTGTTACAGCCACAAGGTGCATAAATAGATAGGAAGAGCGAAGGTGAAAAATCAAACATACAGTCCATAAGGCAGCAGATTCAAGAAGTATTTCAATAGCCGCATTTTCTGATGCTGGAATAGACGCAAGAAACAAGGGATGTACCTGTTGATAAAAAGCTTCAAAACTCATAATTTGATGAAGACTCTTTAAGTGATTAATATTTGTTACTCCACATGTATTTCGAAGGTACTGAAGTAAGTGCGTAAGCAGAGAAAGTTCAAGTGAAACAATAGGGATATCACGTGAAGGGGGTATTTTGTCAAATATACTTAAGAGTAATCGTAACTTTTCTACATATTTTGCATCGTTTAACCATGGAAGACCTTGCTGAAGTTTTTGCTTCCATGATGTGAGTTTCGAAAGTAATGTCGATACTGTCCTTTTCTTGCTAATAACATATTCCCCCAAAACTTTCTCAAACAATGTTGCTTCTCTTCTTGGAGGTATTTGAATATTCATGGGAGTCATCGCCTGTTGTGGCATCCCAGAGTTAGAGACTTTTGCTGCCACATTCGCCACAAATGTGAGAATATTCACACTTTGTTTCTTGGCAATGTAATGATTTGTGAGCTCAGCTATAGTAGCTATTTCTCCAAGTATATATGTAGATATCTGTGGTGTAAATCCTATTCCCCGTGTTTCCATTATCTTCGTTGTCGTAAGAAACGGTTCAATAACAATGGCATTGTCGATAAGATTCATTGGTTGTGAGAATAACCAAGAACTGGGAAGCTTTTTTTGAGTTTGAAAGAATAATATCTCGGAAATATCACCAGGTAATTTGATAGTATAATTCTCAAAAGAAGTATAACCAACATCAGTTAGAAAGGCAATATCAATCTGTAATCGCTTTAGAGGTTTGTGCCGTACAGAAGACTCTAAATACATGATCTCCACAAGAGAAAACGTTGCGGTTACATGCCGTGGGTTCACAGAGGTCACAGAAACATTTACAGGCCATCCACTTCTTGTTGAAACACACATGTGTGGTCTATACTGCAGATTAGATCCCTTAATGGAAAGACAAACCACAACACCATCTTCTAGAGTGTGATCAAGGGTGTTAATAACTGGTGATAGCTGTACCTCACCCGTTGGAAAAATTAACTGGCTTAAAATAAGGAGATGTTCAAAAATATCAAGACGTTCATGATGTTCCTCTTCAGAGAGAGTTTCTAATCCTGAGCATTGCGTTCGCAAGAAGTATTTGCCGGATTTAAGGTCTAATAGAGGACCACATCGTATACCAAGAGGAATATTGAAACGAAACCTACTCCTATTATTATTATTACTATTATTATTATTACTACTATGATCACTTTTTTGTTTCTCCTTCACATCGTGTGAAGGAAATAAAACGTTTGAGTAACCACAAGAAGGATCCGCTGCCACTAAAAGTCCTGTATAGTATAAGAAGTTGCCACTAAAAGCGGATGAGGATACAAGCATGAGTGAGTCTTCAAGAAACATACGTCTTGGAGAGCCATAGGCAATACAAAATACACGTTCCCGTAAAGAATTAGATTTATCTGATACTGAACTAATAAAAAGATGAGCTGCTAATGCTGCTGATGATCCCATTTCACCAATACCACAGAAAATTGCAGAAGCCTTCTCCTTTTCCAATATTTCCTGAATACTATAGTGACGTAATCTCTCCCTCTGTTTTACAAGGGACTTGGAGCATATAATAAAGTAGTACACCGTAGATGAAGTAATTGGTAGTGGTGGGACCTCATATACAATCTTCACTATTAAACAGGCAAAACTAGACTCCAGCATACGTGTAGATGCTATCATCACCTTAATAGATCCAGGCACACTAGGAAATGCATCCACACACTGCGCCCCATTAGCAGATAAAAGAAGACCATCAAATATACAACGACACTGCATAGAATGAGAATGCATCCACGGCATGGGAATAGTGACACTAGCATCAATGGAACACTTTGTGGAACCAAAGGCCACTACTTCACCAGATACCGTACCTGTTGCGCAAATACGAACATAAATAATTTCATTCGGATAAAATATTTCTATGATGGCATGACAGAGAGCTGTTGTGATGGAAGAGTATTCCTTGTCTAAGCTATGATTCGTTCTCCAATCAATAGTATAGGTCCATTGCATTACTCTTTCAATCTCAACACACGCGTTAGTTACACGCGGTGGGTCCCAGCATATTAACACACACGTTGGGTAAATGGCACAGACCTCAGGTTCTCCCATGAGATACAGCGTTTGTACATAATGTTTCTCATTCCCAGTGGTATTCATTTCTATTAAAGTAGTAAACTTTAATAATAATAATAATAATATTATTATTATTATTATTATTATTTTGAAAAAGAATATCAAGTAGAAGAAAAAAAAAACAGTGTCAAACAAAATAAGATTGAATAAACTCAAAAAAAAATTTCATTCATCAAAAAAAAATTATATATATATATATATATATATATATATATATATACCTCATAAGAAAAACTTTTTTAAAACGAAAAAAAAAAGAGGGATTAGACTCTCAGTAAAGTCTATTTCTCATTATGTCTGTAGCAAATAGGGATGCAGCACGTGGAGTTGTTCTCCAACGTCTAATATAATTTCGCGGTAACGGGCGGTGAGATGTGAGGCGGATCCAACCATTACAGGAATAGATTTGTAAACCATCCAACAGGCCACGTGAGCAGATGACACCATATCCTCAAAACCGCAGTCAATAGAGCTAAACGTCAAAAGTAAAGGTTCACGTAATATATAAAGACTACGAAATGCACAATTCCCAAATAATTTATCGTCTTCCAAGAGAATAGACGCATGAAGGGTTTCCAATAACAGTAAATAAACCAATTCTACCACCTTGCAGTAAATAGATACAGGAATCCCATGTAATAATTCTATACGCTCTCTTGGGTTTAATTGACGGGAATACAAAATAAGAAACGGGATCCAATCAACTGCAGGAATACCAGGTGTATCACTCAATGCCATAATAGGAACATTCTTTAAAGAAAATCCATAACTAGACGCAAAACGTTCAATAAATTTATCTCTGATAATGTTTTCATCTTCCCCATGAAATGTAAGATATTGTAATAGACGAAACATTAAAAGAGGAGATTGACAGTTTTCGCTAAGTGATTTAGTTAACTTAAGAAGATGTAATGCTCCATGACACTGTTCCGTAATCCGTAGATACTCACTCCATAGTTCTGCGAAACTCATATTAGTAACTATAGAAGCCTGTTGAAGAATATCTTCAACTCGTTTTAGATCTGTAGAGTGAGCACGCATTAATGAAACTGAAATAGCAGATTTCATAGAATCTATTAACTCCATATGTATACCTTGAGTTTCACACATGGAAAGAAAACCACAATGTTTTTGAAGTAATCGTTTACTTTGTTCTGAAAGTTTATGCGGTAGGTATTCACTAAACGTAAAAAGAACATCAGAGATAGACGCTAAAGGTAAAGCCTTCATTTCTTCCATCTGTTTTCTCTCTCGCAGCGTTATTAACATCATTGTAAAGTTCTGTTGGGCAAGAGGAAGTAGAGAGAAATTCCCTGGAGCTTCCAACACTGTTGAAAGGAGAAGCTCCGCACCGGCCACATCATCCTTCTCCACAACACTCATACACGTGATTGCAATCATGTAAGCAATATACCGCGCCGCTGTGGAGCTCCATTGAATATCACACGATAAGAGTGTTGTTTTCACTACATAAGCTGCCATCTCTTCACTGCATTTGAGGCATTCACTTATACATTCACGTGTAGTGGCGTTGGATCGCAATAGTGTCCACATGTAAGTAAGTCGAATGGAAGGAGATTCCGGAAATAAATACATACCGTGTTTGGCAAGCCAAATCAATTGTTCGGTCTGTACACCGGCAATCCGCATGAGACAACGCCAAGATAAGGAATCCTGACGCTGTTGAAAAAGTTGAGTGGCTGCACTTTGTTCAGGTAAAGAATTTATGAACTGTTCCCATACACTAAGTTCCTCTCCTTCACGAAGCAATAATGTAATATCTTCTAAAGATATTTCTGGTTTACATCGTAGTGGGGCATCCCATACGATACTCTTTCCATATGTCATCACCGTCTTTGCCCATCCATAGTTCGCAACACTGTTTACAGTATCACATCTTATTTTCACAGCATCCATAAGATCTGTAGATGCATCTATCGCTACTTGTGAACGGAATAAAAAAGTCGCAACATCGCAAATATTGCAGTCGCCATTTGTTAATAATCTCATATGAGAGATAAGTTCCTGACTTCCACGTTTCACATGTTCTATCTGTTTCTCATGCCAATATGGACAGGCAGAATTACTACAGCAACCTTCGTCAATATCCATTAAACACATCTCTTCATAAAATAAGGCATCTCTAACTTCTTTCCCCATGGTATTATCATCATTACTAGTCGTGAGAAAAGGTGCGTATTGACAAAAGAAACGTCTTCTAGTTTCTTCATCTATTGTAAAACAGGGTATCACTATTCCCCAAGAATTTAAACTATTAACGGTAAGTGCGCAGGAGGGATGTTGAAGATCATCAGCTCTCAACAGTTCATGCGATTCAGGCCTCCTTAAAGTTTTACCAACAATAAGTTGATCATCTATACGTTCATAAACATATTTCTCTGTTTTCTTTTGACGCAGCAATTCATCGTGTCTTTGTTGCAGTTGGTATAATTCTTTTTTCGTTTCAACGATTAATTGTTCCTTTGATTTCATGGAATTCCCAAGTTCTCTCTTTTGTCTCTCCAAAAGACCCACTCTATCTTCAGATCTATTATGCTGATGGGATTCGGACATTACTTTTTTAAGGAGTGGATGAACCCATCCCTCAGCAACCCGTGTTTTCGGTGGAATAGACTCCATTGCTAAAATACATAAATAAATAAATAAAAGAAACAGGGAGAAGGTAGTGAAAAACAAGAAAAAAAAAAAACCAACAAATAAAAATACAACAGATGGGAATATTCTTTTCAACAGGAAAAAAAAACAATAGAATTTTCAAATTTTTTAAACTAGTTGAAGTATTTTTTTTTTTTTTTGTTCTTCTTCTTCTTACCTCTCCACGTGTAGGGACGTTAAATGTATTGCTGATACGCTGACATCTTCCTCTCGTGACGATACCTTTCTCTTCTTTTTTCTTTTTGGTTTTGCTCTTACTTACTTTCCTCTTTTTCTTTCTTTGTTTTCTCTTTTCACTCACTACTCTTCTCTCTCCCCCTCTCTCTATCTATCTCTCTCTCTCTCTCTTTTTCACATAAGTTGTTTCAAGTTCCATCTAGTGAAATAATAGAAGCCTGGTGTAGATATAATTCTTCCCTGGTCCTCATGTAAAGTTCTATAACACAGATATATATATATATATATATGTGTACAAGAAAACAAAACCCTAACGACCCCACCCCGTTGCCCCAACAGAGAAATAAATACACAACCACCCAAGGGGGTTAAACGAAAATAACCCCTTCATACATATACTACAACCCCAATGTTACTCACAAATCATCATCCTTTTTTTTTTTTTTCTAATACCATCTCTCCAAGGAATAAAATGCAAGAAAGAAGATAAAAATTCTATCCTTTCAAATATTATTAACTAACCTACTTTTAGTGTTTCCGTGTCCTCAGTGTTCAAAAGAAAGCTGACATACTGACATGCAGTAACACATTGGTTTACCGGTTCAAAATGATTTAACACTAACGCCGCAAGAACAATTGTGAGATAAATGTAGGAAAAGACGAAACATCCCCGACAATGAGCCTTTGGATCACAATGAAAAAGCCAAGCCTTGTATATCATAAGAGCGTTGGCAACCGCGACTGCAGGATAATACCACCCCTCAACGGGCATTCCGATATAAACAGGACCAAAAAGTGTAATAATCCCCATAAAGACAGAAAGCAGAACCGCATAAAAAGATGCACGCCATGGATTATAAAATGCCAACATCTTGTATCCAGCACTTTCATAATCCCGACGACAATGAAAGCTTAATCCCATAAAATGTGGAATTTGCCAAGCGACTAGGAGAGCTCCCAAAAGCCACGCAGGAGCCGTAACACTGCCTGTCGCCACAATACCACCCATAAGAGGGGGTATGCCGCCAACAATAGATCCTATCCATGTATTTACAGCAGAAACACGTTTAAGAGGTGTATACACAGCCACATACAGAAACCAGTTGGCTATTCCCAATGCAGATGCTGAAGGACTTACAAGATATAAAATACCAGATCCCAGCAAGAGTTCAACACCAGATAATGCGGAGGCACGTATCGGTGTAATGTAACCCATTGGAAGAGGACGACGACATGTTCTTTTCATTTTCTTATCATGTTCCTTCTCAATAACTTGATTTGCCGTGTTCGCGGAGCAACACTGTAAAAGAGTTCCAACGGTTACCGCAGATGCTACTAAAGGGTTCGCACCACCACAAATCACGTAGCCCGCCACTGCAGTAGCAGTCACAAACGTGGAAAGTCTAAGTTTTCCTAATTGACCCACCAAATGCTTTACCGGTACAACTTTCACGCATTGTTCAGTTTCAATTGGGCATCGCAATTCTGGAGTAACGCCAAGAACCGGGCAAGAGGTCGTCTCTGTTTTTACAGACACCGACTTCAATTGCTGTTCACCCAAAACGCCAGAAAAGGGGCACTTTGCCACAGGACTCGACGTGCTCTGGAAAACCATTTGACCATGGGCCCTAAGCCGCAGGCCTGCCAAAGTAGCTCGGCGGATCATCACTTCCACTAAAACCTATTATTAACTTTATCCATATATATATATATATATATATATATATAAAGAGAGAGAACCACACCGATTTGGGGTGTATTCATAAGGAGACACCAGAAAAAACAAAAAACAAAGAGAGAGAGAGAGAGTTGGAAATATGTATATATGTGTAGTCATAGAAATAATATAGGTAAATAAAGAAGGAAATAAAAACCATAAAAAAAAAACACATTACTTATAGTATTTACACACCATTCAATCCTTTTCTATTTCATTCTTTGATCCATCACAGTTCAAACACACAGACATATATATATATATAGAGGGAAACCAGCAAACATCCATACTTCTGAACTATTTGTGTAAAATAAAATAAAAAAGAAAAGAAAAAGTATAGATGCATCAATTGCTTGTATCTCTCTCTCTCTCTCCTCATGTGTCTCTGTATCTGTGTGTGTGTGTGTGTGTATTTACGTTTGAGTGCCTTTTGCACCATTCCCTATCGCTACGAAGGAAGGCTAATGATATACGATATACAATATTCATATACATGTATACGTATATGTATATACAGAAATTATTAATTAAGTTTTCTAAGTACTTCCGCTACATCAAAAGGAGTAAACGCGTGACCATCTGCAGCATAGAATTTATTATTAAATTCCACCCAATGCAAACGGAGGGCATGCAAGAAAGCGGAAAGAGACTCCATACCCAATAAAACTCCAAGTGTCGCACACATCCACACACAGAAGCCAATAAATACAAAAATACCTGATCCACTGTCTAAACCTACTGTCATGAGAAATGCAAAATTCCAGAAGACTTCAGACAACTGTGAGTGAGCGAGTGAAAGTGCCCAAAGACGCAGGTAGGATGCTGTATTGGAAACACAACCCAAAACGTATTCAATAGTGTGAATGACCTGATGAATCATAATCTCACTAAAATCAAATTCGTCTTCTTCAGCTTCTTCATCATGTAATAAAGCCTTACGAGCCATTTTCTCATCATGATGTTTTTTCTCCATGTAAGGAATTACACACAAAAGGAGCGGTACCATCGCAAAGGCAATAATGAGTAAAATAACTTGAATAACCGCTTGACCAGTGTACAAGGGCACTGTTACAGTACCGGGTTGAAGAAAGAAATTTGTCATGGTCTCCAATAGAGAAGGAGCATCATGTGTGCGATTTTCCCACGGAGTACACCACTTGATAATGATAAGAAGACACATATATCCAAAAGTACAGGAAAGGAAAACAATCTCAGGTACAAAGCGAAACCACACCTGCAATTTATCACCAAAGTAAAGGTGATTCATAAGGGATAATACAACTCCTGCCATCATTTGAATAACTCCAATAATAACAGAACATTTCATTTTAATAGAGTTATAAAATTCCAGTTTGTTTTCGGTTTCTGCCCAGGCGGAATCAATACCAAATATAACACTATTTGCAGGTGTTACACCTGTTGGTGAAGAGGGATGTACTATTCCTTCTGGTCCATTAGGAGGCAATTGTGGCCATCGATAACCAGAAGTAAATACCTCTACAGAGAAGCCAAACATATCATTGTAAAGGAAACCGAGGTAAACGGCAAATAAACCCATAAAAAGAAGTAAATATCGACCTTCAAAAATCATTGCAAATATTTCGTTAAGTGGTTTTCCTTCCCAACTCTTCTCCATAAAAATTAAAAAGGCTGCAAAAACGGTAAGTATTACACCGTGTCCAATATCACCATACATAATACCAAAAAGATAAGGGAAAGTAACAATTGTAAAAACACCAGGATTCACTTCTTTATATCGAGCCATACCGTAACTGTCAACAATGCTTTGGAAAGAACTTGTTATTTTGTTTGTTCGGAAATAAGTAGGCGGTTTTTCCTTTGTTGTTAATTCTTCCACAATTGTTAGTACTTGTGCACCACTAAGGTGTTCTGCCTCTTGTAATACCATTCTTATATCGTCCATCGCTCTAACAGGTGCCCAACCTTTAGCGACAGCTGTTGCTCCACTAAAACGCAGCATGTTCATAGTAGAATAAACTGCTTTTTCAACAGCTACAGCACGACGCCATTCATGTACACTTCCGGCAAGTCCCATTAATAATTGTCTCTGACGTAATGCAGACTGCTGCAGTGTATGGGTGACAGTTTCCACTTGGTTGTGAAGTGAATCTCGCATGCCTTGAAGTCTTTCCTCATTATCGGCATATTCATAGAGTGTAGCCCCATTCACCTCGCTAATCTTCCTTAAGGTTTCTCGTAAACGAGGGGCTGGAAAATAAATTCCAAAAACACACTTATAAACTGGTTGATTTGTGGTAATGCTGTAAAATGGTGTCTTAATATCATCTGTCTGCATCACAGAGTTTCCACGGGTGGTGCGATAGACAAGGCGCTCCAATGTTGGCACACGATCTTTTGGAATAACACCTGTTAATAAATTAAGTCCCTGACTCGTTGCGGAGGCACCGCCGAACTCGCGACTGAGCACTTCCAAATGCTCACGTGAGCGATTACGTTCCTCAATGAGAGACTGATACTGTTCATTCAACTCCCGCACCTCACTCTCGCGTTCATCCACTTTATGCTCCAGTGAAAACATCGTCTCCCGCTCCGTCACCTCGTCCGGGATGCCCGTCACGCCCGACCGCTGAATCTCTTCATGCAAATAACGCAACTTGCGCTCCATATCGTCGCAGCGCCGCACCTCCTGCACAAAGTCCCGCTGGAAGGCACTCACGTCGTTATTTAAATCAAGAAATTGAAATCCCGCAAGCTGCCCGAGTTTGAGAACAGAGTCGTGCGCCGCCTCCCGCTGCATGGTGAGCTGCAGCATCACCATGTCCTCTGAGCGCCAAAGGCCACTGGCGGCCTCACGCGGCATTGTGTGTATTGCTGTGTACCTCACTTTCACACGGTATGGAGTTTGCGCGGATTATCTGCTACTATTATTACTTTTGTCTCCACTTACTATCTTTTCTTCTTCTTTTTTTTGTTTCTTTTTTCTTTTTTTTTTTTTTTTTTGTATTTCTTTATTTGTTAATGAATATCCCCTCTTCCGCTTTCTTGAACTTTTTCCCCCTAACCTCTTCGTTCCGTTTGCTACGAAAAAAAAAACTCTAACATTTAGGAAAGAAAAGAAGATTATTCATTTTATTAACTCATGTATACAATGAAGAGCTATGATAGCAACAACAAGAAAAAAAAAGGTATACATAAATACTGCCTTTTTGGTACTGTACGAGATTCAGATAAAAAGAATAAATAAATAAATAAATAAAAACCAAAAACCAAAAAAAAAAAGGAATAAATAAATAATCAAACTATCTGTGATGACTGTGAAGAGGAAAGGCACCATTGCGTTTCGTCTGACTTTGAGATTTCTCAAGATGAAGCGTAAACTCATGGTTGAGTTTTAATTGTGTTAACATGCGACAAACGCCAATGGGCTTCTTCCAAGAAAGATTCGTGCCATTCGCACGCAAAGTATCGGCCGTCTTTTTCAACTCCACTGTCAAAGCAGTATCAAGACGATAACGCATGTTGTTTGATCCAAGCGATTCCCCCTGTTCTATCCACAGCTCAGGAGGGATAAGTCTTCGTATATACAACTGCGTGGGTTTTAGAAAGAAACCGACAAAGGTTGAAGAAGGTAAAGCCAATTGGTGCGGTGAATCCAATTGTGGCTGCTGTGTAGTGAGAATGAGAAGATCATTCTGCACTTCCTGTGAAAGATGATATAACCATTCCTCAGGACTGCGTTCATGATGTTTGGTTTCTTGCGGCTGAAGTATCCATCCATCGCCGTAGAGTATATCATCACTCATCTCTTGGTTACTTATAATACTGTCAACAGTGAGCACAACTTCCTTCGACGTCCAACGCTCACGCTCAAACTGTGAGGAACACACACTTCGTCCACAAAATACCAGCGTGTCATTCTCATCAACATCAATTCGAAATTCTTCCGTATTCACTTTCGAAGTATTAAAGTCTTCCATTGCACAACAACGTGTGGGAATATGAAAATATGAACGACGTGCAGTACATGGGATTATATAACGCCCAAAATGTAGTGAAAGAGGAACATGTCTCTGTAATTGTAAAAGAGATGCCAAAGTCTGTTGCAAAACACTTCTTACACTTGAAGGTATGATTGAGCAGCGAAGACAACGAATAGAAGGAGTTAGTGATAGTGAAGTTGTCGTTAGTGCCGTTGTGTCCAAATGCATGGATATACATGAACTACCCATTAACGGTATAGCCAGAAGTTTGGCTGAGTGTATAAGACGAGAAAAATCGTTTATAGTTGTAAAAGATGTGAAAAAGAGAATAAAATGATGACTCTCTGATGTATGAATATCTGCAGGAAGAAGTAAATGATATAAATTCTCTACAACACACTGATCTGTCTCTCGCCCTGGAGAACGTACAGGGCTAAGTGTGTTCAAGAGACGTAATGGATCCATCTGATTATTGTTGGTATCATTTGTATTATTCCATACTGGCAGAAAACCATTACTGCCTCTGTTGCCGTTTACTGCAGTAACTACAACACGAGAAGTTGTTGTTGTTGTTCCCTTCATCATTGCAGTAACGCGTGATAGTGTTAGCATTTCGCCCACTGCTGTGATGAATATGTTCCTGAATGACTCAAATAGCTCCCAGTCATTGTAGCGAAGGTCAAAAACGATCGTCACTGAGTCAGACGACATTGGAAATAATCTCAGGAATTACAGAGTGACTGTGTCAGTATAGGAATTAAGGATACACGAAAAGATAAAAAAATAAAAATAAAAATAAAGTAAGAAAATAATAATAATACTTCGCCTTCGGATGGGAAATCCCTTTGTACTCAAAAGATGCAGTGAGAAAACATAATGAAGAGATAAAAGAAGAAGCAGGTGATATTAGAGAATAACATTAACCTTTAGCGTAATACCCAGACGGTAAAACACATGCAAACATATTAATACTAAGTGGAGAACAAATATAAAATATTAATATATATATATATATAGTTTAGGTAACGAAAAGGGAATCCGTCTGTATGGTATTCACCCGTAAATCACCGCACAGAATCTTCAAAAAAACCTTTCCTGGGATCTCTGTTATATTTTTTTTCAGAAGAAAATAAAACTACCGAAAAAAAAAATAAAAAAAAAAATATTTTAGAGAAATCCCATTTAAGTAGTTATATCCTGCATGTCCTCTACAAAATAGTTATATTCCTAAACGGTACCAACATAAACAGGGGTACAAAGAAGAAGAAAAAAAAAAAGGATATTTTCAAAAAAAACGCGAACTACTTTCTGACTGAAACAGGTACAAGCAATATTTATACCAGTGTAACCATTGGAGGAAAATGAATACATTAAATTCAAAACAGAAAGCAGTTACTTTGTATTTTCTTTATTATTATTATTTCTGTGATGATTTTGGTGGGTAAAACCGCTTACCGAAAAGAGAACTCCCTACACGTACTACAGTTGATCCCATTTTTATCGCATTTTCATAATCTCCACTCATTCCCATTGAGAGTTCCAATGTGTCAACGGGAACTCCAAGGGCCTCAGCTACAGAAGCCCGGCATTGCAGCAAACATTCAAAATTCTCCGGGCGGCTTGTATAGTCCGGCATTCCAATAGTCATGAGACCCGTCAAGTTTAAGTGCTTGCAATTTTCCTGAATATACTTTGCGAGTTCCACCGTTGGGGCTCCTGGCTCTGTGCCGCTCTTCGACTCCTCTCCGCTGGTGTTTACTTGAATGTACACATCCAATGGACGTCCACCTCGGTACGTTAAACAACCCCCATCAAGCTTGGACGCGAGCTTGGCGCTATCAACACTTTGAACCACAGACAAACTTTCCGCTCCCTCAAGGAGTTCCTTAACTTTGTTGCTCTGCAAATGACCAATAAAGTGCCAGCAAATATCTTTCGGTAATACTCCTGCCTTTTCTACAAGCTCTTGTACATAGTTTTCTCCAAAAAGACGGTGTCCACAGTCGTACAGAGCCTGTAAACATGGTGGAGATTTGGTTTTGCTCACAGCAATGAGTTTAACAGATCTTTCACCTGCTGCATTATTAATGCATGTTAATACGGATTTGTAGTTTGCAGTGATTTCTTCACTACTAGGTTCGCTGGCGACATCATACCGGGACATGGCAGACCTTAAAAGAAATGGGATAAGACGAAACAGTTTTGCTTTTTTTTTTTTTTTTTTTTTACCTTCAAGTCCATATCAAACAAAGAATAAGAAGAAAGAAAGAGAAACAGAATATATATTTATATTTATACAAAAAAAAAGAGAACAAAGAATAAATGAATCAAAGAAGAAAACCATTAAAAGAAAGCGAAAAAGTAAAGAGAGGCCTTATTTTTTTTTTTTTTAATTTACTTTAATATGTCTCTGTCATTTCCATCATCACAAGATCGTTAAAACTATTCGGTCCGGGGAAGCTTAAGGGGAGGTGCACTACTCTCGCCATTCACAGAGTTCTTTTTTTCTTCCTCCTCTTCTTCTTCTTCCTCTTCTTCTTCTGTAATGAATGAGGCATCACTTTCGTCGTCTTCCTCGTCGGATTCACTGCTGCTCTCATCACTGTCTACTATGGCTACCTCCTCACCATCCTTATTCTTAGAGTCCAGTGCCACCAGTGCTGGAAATAGCGCGAAGATGTCGTTAAAGCGCGCCGGGTCGTCTGCTTGGTTGTGTGTGATGTCGAGAACGGTGAGTGTGGGGAACGCGGCTGCGAGTCGCTCAATCTCTTCCCACTCATTGAGTTTGTTGTTGGCGATGAAGAGTTTGCGGAGTGGCGGTGTGTGTGCAGGGGCCGCCGGCACGCTGATGGCATTGTCGCTCACGTCGAGGACGGCGAGGGCGGGGAGGGACGCGAGGGGGACGCCGTCGAGGGCGCGCAGCCGCGGCCGCAGCGACACGAGTGTCAATCGCGTCAACTGCGAAAAACACGAAAGACGTTCAGTTGGCAGCGGCACGTCGTGCAGTGAAATCGCCCGAACTTCCTCCGGCGGAACTCCCCGCGTTTGCTCCTCCACCCGCAGTAGTGCCGTCTTGCGCAGCAACTCCATCCGATATATCTATCTATCTATCTATCTATAGAGATCTATACAGATATAGATATAGAGAGATATATAGAGATATATAGTGAGAGGGAGAGAGAAAAAGAAGTTCGCTCTGCTCTTACTTGAATCACGGGTGACGCACGGGGAGGAGTGGGGTGTGGAGTGGAGTGTGGAGGGAGAGAGTAAAAAAAAAAAAAAAGAAGAAAGAAGAATCTTATAGAAAAACAAGCAGAGAGAAGGGAACAGAGAAAGGCAAAGGGAGAGAGAGAGAGAGAGAGAGAGAGGGAGAACAGGGATATACTAACAGCAGTAGCAGCAGCAGCAGCAGGTCAAACAGTGCTAATACACACAGTACATTTTTGCGGTACTGCAGATCATTACGCTCGCAACGCCTAGTCATCAAAGAAAAAAAAGAAAGGATGTGGGGAAATAAAGATATCATTAACAGAGTACACGAGTAGAAAGAAAAATAAGGAATATGTGTACATTTACGCTTTTTTTTTTCATTTTCCTACTCATATTCTGTGTTAATTATCTTTTCTTTCACCAGGACTAAGACGATTTGTTTGCTTATTCCTTTTGTATCAGATAATTTTTTTTCCCTTTTTTTTTGATTCTGTTTATATAATCATGCGGTAAGCCTAGAATATTATCCTCTGCCTATTGGTAAAAGATCTTTTTTTTTTTTAGAAAAAAAAATTTCTGTAGGTTTACATAGACCAATGTTGTACATAATAAAGAAGAATATAAAGTACTAAATGCCTATGCATACATTAAACACGTATAAAGTCATGTTTACATGTGTCTTCTCTTTTTTACAATGAAAAAGAGCTATACTTCAGTTTTTCCTTCTCTTATCCTTTGTTTTCAGAGTTTTCATCATCGTTGTTCTCCTTGTCAGCAGTCGAAAAGAATTGAAACTGTGGCAAAAAAAAAAAAAAAAAACCACTTCAACATTTGCCTTTTTTCTGTAGGCTTTTTTTTCTTTTCTTTTCTTTTTTCTTTTTTTTTCCCTTGCGCAATTACTTCTATTCAGATTCTATTGTAGTCTCTTCCGCATCATTCGTCATTCCCTATATAACAGCATAATTATTACTACGCTCTCCACTAGTGCTTATTTCTCCTCAATACAATTCCCTATACTCAAGTTTCTGAAGATCTTGATATGGTGTGCAGAGAACAAGGCTGTTACGCAGATGCTGACAGTTAATCACATCAACAGCCCACCGTTTCTCACGATGAGCGCTGATAATTGCGCCAAGAGTTTTAGTTCCATCAAAGTCAACGCGTGTGACGTGCGACATGTCAAGCACAAGACGTTTTCTGGTTCCAGGTGGCATGGATTCACGAAATGCAATGCTTTTCTCAAATATAGTAGCCTTTACTTTTTCAGCGTTGATAAAAAGAATAGATTCCTGCGGTTGTACAAGAAGTACACGGAATATAGTTGGTTCTGGTGCTCGTGGAGATGCATAGGTCTCATCCTCCTCTTCAAACAATACAGCATCATCTGCCGCATCACTGTAGTTCAGCAATACACTGAAAAATATACCAACCATTAAACCTATAAACGTATCTGTTAGTATACAGGCAGCACATGTAATTATAGTAGAATAAAGATTAGCCGTATCAATAATATGTAAAACGCGTAGATCGTGAAAATCCACTAATTTATATGCAACTACCATTAAAATAGCTGCAACAGTTGCCATTGGTAGTTCTCTGAAAAGAGGCAACAGTAGACTACAGAGTAGTGCTACTGCAACACATGATAAAATACCAGATAAACGAGAGAAAGCACCAGAGTGTACCATTAATGCAGTTCGAGCCAAAGCGGCCGTAGAGGGAATACCACCCACAAAAGCACTAACAACATTTGCCATTGCCAATCCAAAGGTATCTCGAGTACTTGAATAGTTAAGATAAGACTTATCTTCTACGTGATTATTCGCAATAAGTGAACTTATTAAAGTCTCCATCAGTCCAACCGTAGCAATACCGAATCCATAGAGAATAATGGTAGGATCAAACCATTTTGAGTCTATCAACTCATCCAATGAAACAAAGGAAAAAAAATTGAGCGATAAATTAGGATATTTCATACTCAGAAGAACAAGAGATCCTTTTGGTAACAAGTGGGCCACAAGTACACCAAATAATGTAAATACAATTTGCCACGGAATCTTATTATATCGCTTGGACAAGACAAGAAGTGGAATTATAGTCACAAGAAAAAGCAGTGTGTCTGGAATGCTGAGAGTGTCTATACGTCTATAATCCTCCATTAATTTTTCCAATAACTTCTCTTTAGGTTGTACCCCTTGAAGACCTAACGCTGAAGGAATCTGCCCAACAGCAATTACAATCGCCACACCGCAACCAAAACCGTGGGCCACACCAGAGCTGACAAAACGTAAAAGATGATTTATACGGAAAAGCAGAAAAAGAAATATCCACAATCCTGCCTGTAATGCTAATGGAGCCAGCACTGGAACACCGTAGGAGGCAACCATAGATGCCAGCAATCCGCTAAGCGCACCTGTTGGACCAATAACATTGAAATGTGAAGATCCCAAAACGGCAGCCACCGCACCAGCCCAAACACAACTCACAATACCCTGTTCAGGAGTAGCACCACTACCAATAGCTAGTGCAATGCTTAACGGCACATTCACAAGGGAGACTGTCAAGCCGGCCCTTACGTTTGCCATAAAATGGTGAAAAAGTGGTTTGTGTCTTGGCATAAAAACCCACTCAAGCCAGGTACGTTGTGGAGGAAGTCTCTCACCCAGCGCTGTCGTTGGGAAACCAAAGACATCTACCGGTTTTACAGACAATTTTACCATGAATAAAATCTTGAATCCACCCTTATTATTACTATTTTTTTTTTTTTATAATATTAATTTTATAATAATTATGTGCTCCTTCTTTAATGCTCCTTTCTCGTTCTGACGCGTTTCGCTTATAATAGATTCTATTATTGATAATGCAAATAATATATTATAAACAAAATAGTATTCAGTGATGTAAAAACACACAGTGTGATTTAAAAAATCATATTTGTATATATATTTAATTGTTTATTCGTTTCGGTCCCATATGCGAGAGGAGAACGTATTTAAACAACAAATACATAGTAAAAAAACGAAGAAAATAAAACAAAAAAGGGGAAAAAATATATATCTAGATATCAGAAGAATTATTTTAGTAACATTAAAAAAAGAAAAGCACACACACACACACACGTAAAAAGGGAAACCCTCACAGATACCAGTCAAGCTGAGAAATCAATAAACTCCTAAAAATATCATAATATGATTCCTGATACTGTCAAACGTAGAAGAGAAACGGCATAAAATATCAACGAGAAAATACTTTGTTGTGTTTGAATTAATTACTTTTACTAATTTTATGAACCAAAATAGAGAGAAAGAGATTAAAAACTAAACTCTCTACTATGCCTCAGAACTCACCCGTAAGGACTTAAGAAGTGGTAGATTCTAGGGTCCCTTCCTTGCCAAATCCCTCCGCGTGGAGGCACTTGAGGGTGAGGTGAGATGGTAAAGAAAAAAAAAAACTAAAATCAAAATCATTTGTAAACGCTCAGTCAGTGTCTATTCGCCATAATTTACCAAAATAAAGAAAGGGAAAAAAATATTAGAAACAACTCAACGATCGTAAAAATTGTAGGTACACATTCGTTCAATAAGCTCTCATGGGTTGAAATAAACTGCAATTTCGGCTCAACAAATGTCAAGAAAACAATACAAGGCAAGAGGGTGCATGCCTAGTCCATTCGAGTCTCACTTGTACCTCAGGTGCCACACAAAATACCACTGACCTCAGAGTTTTTGCACAGCAACAGAGAAGTAAAAATCACGAAAAAAAAACACCACCATTTTCGTAAAGAAATAACCACAGAAAATTTTATTTTGACAAATGACTCGCTAAGAAACACAGTTACGAGAAAAACATGAGAATAGAAGGAATAAAATCACAGTGGATATCAATGTCCTGAAGACACACACATATAAACATAATACACCAACACACTTGCAGACAAAAACCAAGGAAAAAAATAACAAAACATCATCAGTACAACGACACACATATCTACTTTCCATGTTTATATCCTGCAAAGTTTCGGTCAAAATGACATTTACGCCAACCTTCACGTAACATAACGGCTTCTACGCCAAGAGTGTGTATAGGTGCATCACCCCAGCGATACCTCAGAATCCCAAGAGGTTCATTCTCATCCAAAAAACGAAACATCGATGTGTACAACGGGTGTCGTTTTAACGCTATAGTGCCCAATTCAAAATTATTGTAGTACATCATACGTGTGTATTCTGTTGTATTATCGCGAAGAGCAAAGCGTGTCACGCTCTCAAGCTCATTAGTAGAGAGTGCCGTTACGGCCCATTTCTCAAACGTAGGCCAGAGATCCTTCACAACATTAACACTATCTAAGGTTATAAGCCGATAACCGTAGGAACACTGCCTCCTATGCATCAGCCGAAATACATCACAAGGAACAGTTTTAGTAAGAAACGAATCCGTATCAAGCCGCCAGTAATACTCATAGGAGTCTAGCGAAGGCAGCTGCCATACCAATCCAGCCCAAAATCGACACATAATGCGATACCCACGCTTGTGATAGCGAAGCTGTTCTGGTGTGTTCATCCATTCGTTAAGCTGCTCCTCAGACACACCGTGGGGTAGTGTACGCCAGAACTGAGAAACATCCTCAAATGTCACACTACGCGCTGAAGGCAACACATCCCGAATCTCTTCTTGAGTGCCTAAAGACATATCTTCATGAAATACATGCACAGGGTATGGATAATAGGCAAGAAAGTTCATATCCAGAAGTGGAAGCGTTTTCTCGTAGAAGAGGGGTTCCTTCTTGCCTGCTAGGAATAATATGACACCGTTGACCTCCGTACGCATGTTATTACATCTTAACGCAGCTGTACAGACAGCCTCTACGAAACTCACCCGTTGCGTTGCTGGACCGCTACTGAAGTCGTGTTTTCTCTCCACAAGTTCCTTTTTACTCATACCTTTTTCGGACGGAAGGGGAATAAAATATGCGCCAATTAATACCATTATCAGTACGAATATCACCATCATCACTGATTTGCGCCTTTGTCCCATTGTGTCTACGATTATTTTGTTTTTTTTTTTTCTGTCCACAAAACAACCTTTTTTTACTTGGTCTCTTCAAATAACAAGAAAAGGAAAGGGAAAAGGGAACAGTAGGAAGAAAAAATAACGTAATAATAATCTAATATGATTCCTGATTCGGTCAAGTATAGAAAAGAAACATTATAAAATATCAACGGGAAAATTAACTTGATGGTGTTCGAATTGATTACGTACGAAAATTCCATACATCAAGAGAGATGGAAAAAAGGATGAACAACTAAGCTCTCCATATCCTGGCGGATAACTCACCCGTAAGGAGTTAAGAAGTGGTCGATTCTACGGCCCCTTCCCTCTCCAAACACATCCCGTGTGAAGGGAGAGTATTTGGAATGGAGGTGTGGCTGTAAAGAAGAAAAACTAAAACGTCAATCTTTTTTTAGTCGTTCAGCCAACGTCTATTCCTCAAAATTTTAACAAAATAAAGAAATTGAACAAAACACATACACACACACAAAAAAAAAAAAAAACATCCCCAACAACCTTAAATATACTAGAACTATTGCAGGTACATATTCTTTCCCCACAAGTTCCTATATAAAAGAAAAGAAAAAAAAAAAAAACACGCAACAGGTGACCAATCCTCATGTGTATTCACTAGGAATGAATAGAGGACCACCAGTCACGATCTGTGGGGTCGTCTATACTCACGTAGTAGTTGTTTGTCTGCAGTACTTTCGCATCCCGTGCGTATTCGTCTGGTGTGCAATCACGCCATTGCTCGTTGTTTCCAGTATCCAAGGTGCGTATTTCCTCGCAGACCACAATGTGCGGTTGCCCGTCTGCCCGCCGTACGGTGTATTCGTGAAAGAGACGCACATCCCGCATCCACACGCGGTGCCCATCCACGCGGATGAAGTGACGGAACAAAATAAAGAACGCCGTCGGCATCGCCCGCACACGCAGAGAACTTTTCACGACCCCATGATCGTGCAGATCATCCTCCATCATGTCAAATTGGTGAAAGAAGAGAATAGGCACTGTCTGATTCCGCAGTAAATCCCAGTTAACACCCGGCATATCTGGCTCCAGCAGTCGCAGAGAGCAGCGATGGTCATCAATGCCAAAGTAATTGTTGCGCCACGCCCAATCTACACCGGGATCAAATGTCGCGTACGGTGAATTCTTCCACGATTCCGCAACGGGAATGGTCAGTTGCGGCGCTATTAACGAGCGGTACGCATCTGTGTGGTAGAAGGCAGCAGCTGAACGCAAGACATCCTCCAGGGAAAATGTTACTAATGGCTTATCAGGACACATCACCGGTGCAATTTGAAGTGAATTAAATGCAAATTGAATCTCTGGTATAGCACTAATGCCTACTTTCTTTTCAAGTAAACTCACCTCATCCTGTGTAAGGATGCGAGTTAACTCCGTTGCTGTAAACTTCCACCCACCAATTTCCATTGACTTTACTTCTGGTTCCATTGATGTAACTGGTTTTTCACTAGCAACTGTTCCAAGAATTGTTGTAAAAGACTTTGATGGTAACGTTGCTGGTGGCGTTACGGTGGGTTTAATAACAACAGCTTTTATATTGGATGACGAACTGAGTGGCAATACTTCTGTCACCATATTATGATGTACTTCTGGTGTACCTGTTACCATAGTCTTACTTGGTACTAATGGATTTTTTACCAAAACACGAGACAAGGGGAAATCTACTTCTTCTGAAATAATTGTTGCGATCTGCTCTAGTCCATTTGCATCTACTTCATCGAAAAAATCCAACTGAGTGCTATCAACATCAATAACTCCTACTACTTGCCCTTTACTTGTTTTGATGGGAATTACAATTTCAGAGTTTGATGCACTGTCGCATGCAATATGACCAGGGAATTTATGGACGTCAGGAATAATGAGTGTTTCTCCCTTTTCCACTGCAGATCCACACACACCACGACCAACTTGTATACTACTGCAAGCTGGTCGTCCCTGAAAAGGTCCCAGAACAAGTAACTCTGGACTTTGCAAAAGGTAAAATCCAAGCCAGTTTATAGGTGTATCTTGCAGTAATGCTGAAGGATTGACATAAGCGTTGAGTTCGTAGAAAAGTAGGGCAGCAATATTTCCCAACTGAATACCCATATTAAGGTTGGGCACTATCTTTCTGTTATTATCTTCAACAAAGGCTTTCACTTGAATTCCAAGACGGTCATATAACTCTTTCTTGGTAACCCCGGATTTTGTGCTAGCCGAACGATCTTCGTCACACATAATATTAAAATGTATTATAAGTAAAGAATTAGACTCCTATTGTATAAACAATGTACAGACGAATAAACAAATATTTTTTTTTTAAATCTAAACGTCCGATAAGAGAAAGAAAGAAACAACAAAAAAAAAAAAAAGCAGCATTAAAAAAAGAAAAAATTGCAGACACCATTTCCTACCATAACAGAGTCTTCAAACAATAAAAGGAGCAAAAATAAATAATATTAATAATAATATAAATAAACGTGGAATAAGACAATAGAACCAGAAAAATAATGTATCACAGTCCATCAAAAAGACTCATTGGTATGTGCAATGGATGACTAAGCAGACGACCATGTAGTTCACATGGAATAACAGCTTCCTCCATACACGTTTCACCATACAAGCGCCGCAAGTGCGAGTGAGGAGAGTGTGCTACAGGAAGCATCAGCTCAGAGTCTTCACTCGGGGAAGTATAGGAAAAACGAACAGAATTAAGTGGAAACAACTCCTCACGATACCACCATTCGTTTGGCCACGTTCTACGGGCTTCATCACGAGCAAACACAAGACGCTCCTGCTGCTCTTCCATGAGAAAAATGTCTAGAAAGTATCCAAAATGCATACAGGAGTTATTTCCAGCATCCCAACTCGGTGGAGGGAGGGCAGAACTATAAACTTTATACCCGAACAAAGGGACGTACTCCAGAACAAGATCGGAGTTTTTACTGTTTGTATGCGGATAGCCAAAGGCTTCACGAAGTTTACCTTCATCAGAAGCGGCAATAGCGAAATCAACATCATCATCCCATGGGATGATACTATTATGCCGCACAGCCCCTAGTAGAGTCCCACTTATTGCCCAACACGATATACCCGCTCGTTCCAAGCAGTACAGAACATCCCGCATCAATTGATGCAGCGCAGCACGCATCACAGTAGGCACAACTAGACGCCGCATAAGATGGCTGCTACTCACTGGACAACACAAATCATACCCACCATCTGAACGTGGCACAACCTCATTGACTAATGTAGAGGTAGACGAAGAAGAATAAGAAGATGAACTATAACAGCAATAGGAGGGTACATCTATTACTTTACTATTCTCTTCACTTGTCATGCGTAGTCGCTGTTTTACAAGAAACGCGTAAACAGATTGGGCATACGCCCTTTCTACCGTGACACTCTTATCAAGCATCTCAACAAGTTCATTCTCAAGGGTACTTGGGAACCATCGGTTTGGTTCGTCACGCAGTTTTTGTAGCACCTGCTCTAGCAGATATTTCAAGTTAGTATCACTTTGGTTTGCGTCTACTGGTGTCAACTCAACAGACTGGGGTAAAGATTGGGGATAGTGTGGGGCCGACATTGCAGCAGCACGCCGCCTTGCCAAGTTATATATACAACGGATTCCAGCAGACGACATGTTCAAAGCGAGCTAAAAACCCAGACTTTTTTTTTTTTTTTGGAATTTTATACTCACTTCTTTTTTTGCCGTTACTTCTTCACCTGATAGTACTTCATTCTAATAATAATAATAATAAAAAAGTAATAAACAAAAATAAAGCAAGAAGAAAAAAATAATAATACAGAAGGTTAAAGAAGCTTCAGAAGCATAATACTCTTACCAACTTTCAAGTAGAAAAGAAGGCAGACGCCATAAGGCTTTTTTTCTCTATACCCAATTTTCTCATTTTTTCTTTTTTTTAACCCCTGACATTTTCTTCAGTTCACCGAAGAAATGAGTTGTCAACACTTTTCCCCATTGTTTCTTTTTTTTTTTTCCTTCTTTTCTCTCTGGGAAATAAAAGTGTTCGATTTTACGGACGTAATCTTTGTCCTAATCACAGACATCATCTACTCAAAAAAGAGGCATATCGTTCAGAAAAATACATAAACTTAATCTCATTTTCATATTTACGTGAAACATTAACACATCCCCAGCATCATCAACCACCAATGATGTTCTTTCTTTCCCCTTTTTTTTCCTGTTGCCTTTTTTCATCTCTTTTCACAGTTGAACATTTTCCATAATCATGACGATTGAACTTTTTTTTTAATTTTCATTTCCTGAAGAAAAATAGAGAGGACACTGATAACAAAAATAAAACAAACATACTAACAGATACTGTAACCTTTTCATCCTAATTATTATTCTTTCGTTTCTTTTTTTTTTTTTTTTGTGGAAAAAAATCTATTTTTTTTTTTTTCATACTTGTATATATATTTTTTGTAGGTAATCAGTCAAAGAGAGAAACACACACATAAATCTGTATATAATAATAATAATAATAATAATAATAATAATAATAATATCAAAGCTCTTGTAACTTAATTTTGTCGTGCGTCCAGATTCATAGGCTCCGGCTTGGGTTGCATGCGAAGAGTGTGGTTATAGAAACTTGAGTTTCTGCAATCGGCAGGAATATTCGTGGCGTCAAGAGACCTTAGGCAGCGTCGCACCTCACGCCGGCTGTTGGATGCGTTTCCACATAGAGAACTCGCAGCGTTTTTGCATGCATGCAGGCCTTTCACCCACTCTTTGCACGTGTCGTTGCTTATTGCCTCAACATTTTCAACGACGCATTGCCACATTTCTTTAAATTGGCCATTCAATAAATATTCACCACAGAGTTTCTTATAGTCACTGCGACAATGCACCACTGGACCATGATGGTGGTGAGGGGGGATGCGTACTTGTCCTTCTTCTGGTTTGGGCCCATCAAACTTGCGGTGATAACGGAACTTTCCGTGATGGGAATGTCCTTCTTCTGGCTCGTGCTCTTCAACCTTGCGGTGATAACGGAGCAGTACATCATGGGGTTTTCCTTCTTCTGGCTTGGACCCTTCAACCTTGCGGTGATAACGGAGCAGTACATCATGGGGTTTTCCTTCTTCTGGCTTGGACCCTTCAACCTTGCGGTGATGACGGAACAGTCCATGACGGTGATGTTTTCCATGAGGATGTTCTTCCGTGGGATTTTCTTCCTGGGGAGGTTCTTCCAGGGGTTTTGGTAGATTCTGGGGCTCCTGTTCCGGAAGGTCACCCGGCTTGTACTGTGCCACGAGTTCAGCCGACACGACACTCAAAAGAAGTGCAAAACATAATACTGTAAACCAGAGCTTCATTGTGCTGGTGTATATATAAATCTTGTTTTTTTTTTTTTTCCTTGGTTTGGTATGATATGGTAGTGGTTTTACTGTTTCTCAAAGAGTCTAATTGTGTGGGATAAACAAGAGAAGGAAAGGGAGAAGGAAAGGTAGCAAAAAAAAAAAAAAAAAAACAATAAGAAATAGGGGGAAAACATAATTCAGAAGGAAATAAGCTATTACATAAGCGAATGGAGAAGTATGGGAAAAAAAAGAAAATCAAATATCAAAGACTACATATGTGGCACGCAATCAAATGTTCCAATTGACTTCATTCACTCTATCTCTCTTTCTCTCTGTGTGTATGTGTCCCTGTCACATAATTTCCAATACATGCAACAAACATGTACCATAAGGAGATAAAAAAAAAAAGAAAAAAACATGACAAAGCTAAGCGTACATAACATTTTTTTTTTTTTTTGTTTAACACAGCACACATATTATACAGAGATTGGACTCAGCAGAGCATATACAGAAAGAACATTATCATCAACAACAACTAGAGAAAACAGAATAAAAGAAGAAGAATTTAAAAAAAAAAAAAAGTATGGACTATCACTTTCCTGCTGATACTATTTTTTTTTTTTTTCTTTTCTCTTCAAACTCACATTCACTCACAGACACATATATATAGAAATATATATTATCTCTCTCTCTCTCTCTCTCGACGCCTATTTTCGCCTCTTTTCTTCTAAAAGAGTTGGTGCCTTTGTTTTGGAAGAAGCGGGACGTCCTTGTAGCGTTCTGGTTTTGCACGTTCCAGCATGTCCATCTCACGCTGTATGCGTTCAGCATACTGTTTCTCTAATTGCTGCTGCTCTGTCAAAGCATTACGTATGGCCTCCTTCTCTGCCTCTTTCTCTGCTGCGCGTCGCTGCATCTGCGCCTGTAGGTATTTCTGATCCTCTCGCAATACGGCGCGTCGTCTTGCGCGTTCCTGGGCGTCCACGTCGACTTGACTCTCCAGCTGTCTGCGGAACTCGGCGTACTCCTCCGCCTCGCGCTCGGCCTCCTCGCGCTTCCGCTGCCTTCCGTCGAGGACCTGCTGGCGGCGGATGATCAACACATTGCGGCGGAGTCGCTCGCGGGCCTCCGCGTCGGCGCGCCATCGGGCCTCGCGCCTCCCCCACTCGCGGCGGGCCTCCGCGTCCCACAAGTCGTCGAGGTGCCGTTCGTCGGCCTTCCGCCGCTCGAGTTGCGCCCGCACCTCCGCCGCGTGTCGTGCCGCGTTCGCCCGCCGCTCCTGCCGCGCCTCCGCCTCCGCCGCCTCCTCCGCCGCGACGTCCGCGAGGATGCGGCGAAGGACTTCGCGGTCCTCCTGCTGCAGCTGCTCGTACTCCTCACGACGCAGTCGCCGCATCTCCTCGTTGAAGGCACTCATCTCCTTCGCAAGTGCCGCACGGGCAACACGCTCAGCCGCCTGACGCGCAGCCTCAGCCGCAGCCTCCTCCTGCACGGCACGGTTGAAGGCATCGTCCTCACGCCGACGAGACTCAGCTTCCGCACGCGCTCGTTCCTCATTTCCAGCCACCTGCGCCGCAAGTGCAGCACGCGTTTTCTCCTTCTGTTGATATGCAACCTCAAGATCACGCTGCGCCCGTTCATTTGAAAGACGTTGCGCCTCTTCACGCTGTTGTGCAAAGAACTCATCCTCACGTTTCTTTTCTGCAAGCCGACGCTCTGCCAGAATTAGCTGTTCATGACGCGCATCTGCCACCTGCATCACCTTCAGTCGACTCTCCGCAAGACGCAGGCTATCAATCTTCTCACGAAACATGCGATCATGCCGCTTCTGCGCGTCAACACGAAGGTCCTCCTGTTGTTGAGCTCGCAACTCTCGCGCCTTCTGCAAGAGACGCTCACGCCGTTGTTCATCAGTTTCCGCCAAGTCACTGAGCATTAAATCATGCTGCTCACGTTCACGCAACAGCAATTGCGCAAGTCTCTGGCGTCGTGCCACAAGTGCATCGTCATGCTTCGCCTGAACACGGTCAAGGTGGCGCATTAAATCTTTGCTCTGAATAACACGATCTCCTTTTGTCTCCCAGTTCGCCACAAGCCTCATTCGGCAGTCTTCCGCGTGTGCCTTGTTGAAGGTCATCTGTTCAATTTCGCGGCGCTGACGTGCCTCAATCGCTGCCAATGCACTTTGTCGTGGCATTTTCGTTTTGATTTGTATTGTATCTCAAACTCTTTTAGTGCAAATTATAAGAAAAAAAAAAACTGGTCAAGTATAAATCTTTTAGTCGGTTTTTTTTTTTTTTCTTTCTTTTCTTTCTATTTGTTTTACCTTTGCGTAAAGGACTTGATATCTTTTCTCCCTCTATTCTCTATTCGTAAACTTTATTCGTTCCGGTGCTTATTCTAGGATTGTGGTTTCTAGTTGCTAAATACAAGCACTGAATACGTTAGAGTCGCTTTTTTTTTTTATATAAATGGATAAAGAAGAAAAAAAAGGAAAAGAAAAAGAAAAAAAAAAAAGAAAAGAAAAAGAAAAGGAAACCATAAAATAAAAATAAAAAACAACTGCCATAAGAAATAAACACATAATCATACAGTCAAAAAAAATATATATCTATATACACCCATATGCCTCTCCCTGTGATAGTCCCTAAAGGTCTTACTATAGCAACATGCAAAAAAAATATTTATATACTTTGTTTTTGTACACATTCAGGGTTTTCCTTGTAAAAACATACATTTGAGTTCGAGCGCAACCAACTGTGCCTCCTCCATTGCCGCATCTTTTTCAGCAGCTTCCTGCTGTTCTTTTTGAATTTGTGCCCGAAGACGAGAAATTTGCTCGTCATTTGACATAAACAGTGGTCGTGGGGAAGTATCAATGGGAACAATTCCAGGTGGTGCAAATGCAGAACAATACGGGAAAGCATCTAACACCGCCGCCATTCTATTCTTTCCCTTTCCGAGTTGTTGCTGTTCACGCTCTTTTTCTTCTTCACGTCGTTTCACACGCATATCTGCCTCCTTCTGCAGCAAGGCATCAAGGGACTGCTGCGTTTCCACGTAGTCAGCTGGTGGAGGCGTGGGAACCTCACAAACACAAGCACTACTTGCGCCCTCAGCAGAAGCAGCGGACATACGCTGATGAGGAAATAAATAGAAAACGAAAAAAAAAAGAGCAAAAAAAGAAGAAAAAAAAAAAACACATGAATAGGAACCCAACTGATATAAGAAGAACGGATTTCTATACATAGATATAAAAAAAAACCATGCGAAACACACACCCATACCCATACAGAAGTACCAAGTCACTTAAAAATAAAAAAAAAAACGCTAGCTTACCCTGCGTGATCGTGTCTCTACAAGCAGCAGCAAATGATTCTTCTCAAAGGCTCAGGTAGTTTTAATTTCTTTAATTTGCCCCCTGTTTTTCCCTGTTCTAATGGCCTTAATTCGCTCAAATATCACCAAAAAAAAACGAAAAGAAAGAAAATACTAAGAGTCATTCTTCACGTATACGACACGGAAACACCCACACCCACACAGAGGCACTCCTATTTCTTTACCCAGTGGGAGTTTTTTTTTTTTTTTTTTCTTATTTATTTCGCTTTCAATCGTATTTACCTACTTTTCGCTATATAGTAATTACTTCTTTTCCTTTTCCTTTTTCTTTTCTAGTGTGGTTTTTTTTTTTTTTTTTTGTTTTTAAATTATTCCGCAGCGCCTTTCGTATTAGAGCATGATAGTACAGCACAATCATAGATGCCGAAGAGAAACTATGTATGGGCGGATCCTACAACACCAGCTTAGATCGAAACATGTAATATGGGGAAAAGCAGTGAAATAAATCAAAGACAAGGTATACAATATATATATATATATATACTTATTTTTAACGGCAGTACGTCTCCCCGCCAGTGCACCCCTGCTCGCCCACTCAAAAAAAAAAAAAAAAATGTAACGATATCATGGGTCAGAGAAAGAGGAATAAGGATGAGAAGCAAATATGTTATTCATATTTATAGTACTGATATTTGTCTATTCTGAACGCTTGCGCTCTGCCCGCTTCTTGATACCCTGGTGCATCTTGAGAACCTTGGTGCCGACGAATGAACTTGGCAGAAGCTTTGTGATGCTCTCCAGAATGACGTGGTTGGAGTGACCTGCGGTACAAGTAACAACACCGAGTTTGTTGAGTGTCTGACGTGCCATGGCGGGAGCGCCAACCATGAGGAATGATTCCTTCGGCTTACGGCTGCTGGCACCTTGTGTCATTCGGCTGACGACGAGGTTTGGCGTCACCACGAGGACATCCACACCAGCGGGGCCCAACTCGTAGGCCAAACTCTCACCAAAGGCCTTGTTGAACGCCTTACTGCCGGCATAGGTCGCGAGCATTGGGGCGGGGGCGATGGAAGTGAAGGAGGCAAGTGTGACGATGCCGCCAGCGCCGCGTGCCTTCATGTGCGGGGCAACAAACTTTGTCATGCGAACTGTGGCTTCACAATTTACTTTAATAATACGCAAGTCGTCCTGTAAATCGGCCTCGTCAAAGTAGTTCGCATAGGTGTAGTTCACACCCACATTGTTCACAAGCACAGCGATGCCAAGACCCTGGAGCTGCTGGAAGAGTTGTTTGTACTCCTCTTCACCAGAAGCAGCAAAGTCAAACACAATAGCCTTCCCCGATACACCTTTCTTTTCAATCTCTGCCACCACATCATCCAACTTTGACTTTGTACGTGCAATAACGCAGACGTTAAACCCGCGACAGGCAAGCTCCAACGCCATTGCGTGACCAATGCCCTCTGTGGCACCGGTTACAACGGCCCAGTCGCCAGCCTTCGCGTACTTTCGCTTCAGGTCCGTGCTGGAAAAGTAGTTAACACGCAAAAAGTTCACAAAACGGTACGAAGCAACCATAAAGGCCACCGCACCAATGTACGAAAGAATGCTGCACAGGAATGCCATCTTTTTGTGTTTGGAATTTCACTTTACCTTTTATTCAATACAGCGAAGAAGAATAACAATCAAAATAATAAGAAAGAAGGAAATAATAAAAAAAAAAAAACAGAGTGTAGATGTTTACCGATTTCTTTTTTTTTTTTTTTTGTTTATTTTTTTTTGTTTTGTTTTTTAAGCTTGTACTCCTCAAGAAAGAGAGAAAATTAATTTGCTAAAAAAAAACATTATTATAAATATATATAGATAGATAGATAGATGGTTACACGTGTGTTTGTGGACGTTAAGGGTGTCTCTGTATATGTGTATGTATATGTCTATAAACTAGAGGAAGCATTTGTATCTGTTGTCTTCCATTTACCGCTTACTTTAGAGTTCATACTTTTGCGTAGATAACTTTTTTTCTCTTTTCCTACACAGAGATACATGTATAAGCACCTAACGTCTGAGGATGCAATAAATATCTCTTTTTTCTTGTTTCGTTGTTTTTTGCATGGCAGTTTACCCACAGAAATACATACCACCTATTTTCACCCTTTCTTTTCCTTGATAGCAACGGTTCTACGGCAGAGGGATCAATGGACACCAGCGGTGGTGTACAGTATTGTCCTCCGGGTTGTACATCGCGTCACGACGTCCTGGGATATGCAGAAGACGTGTCACCTTGTTATTAACCGTGATGGTTGCCTCCAGCACCCCGCATTCTTCTGGAATTGTACTTAGCTGATACTGCCGCACATCAGACTGTGATATCACCACTGCCGCGATAACGTCGCCTGCCTGAAATGCGGCTGCTGGCGGGGGCGGTGTGAGTTGATTCTTGGACGGGCGGAATGGGCGGATGTCCTCCAGCCGCACGACCCCGCGGAAGCCGCCGCCGCACCACCCGCCGTCCACTGCGATGATTTCGCCGTGAGCCCCGACGCGCCCCACGCGGGCGACCCGCACGAGAACGACCGCCCCGGGCCGGGGGCCGACCGCCGCCGCCGCGCTGTTGGAGTTCGCCGGCGGCTGCAGGACCGCCACCTCCCCGCCGTCGGCCGCCCACTGCACGACGCCCAGCCGCGAGGCCACAACCCGCCGCCGCCGCACAAAACAACCGCCGCCCGCCCGCACATCGTCCAAACTGCCGTCGCCGCACAACACCGCGCCGGGCGACACTCGCGTCCCAGTCACCGCCACAGACATTCACTGAGAGTCAATGGGGTATGCTTCTTCTTGTTGTTATTGTTGTCGTCGCTCCCTTTGATGTGATTCTCTCGCCCTATGCTACTCCCGTGACTAACAGTAGGTTGAGTATGGTCCGTGTGCGTCCCGAGACCTTCTTTTTCCTTTGCGGTTCTGCACCTAAACTGTTTCTCGTATTTTTGACTCACCGACTGTCTGTGAGGAAAAGGATAAAAAAAAAAAAGAGGAAGAAAATAAGAATATACAAGCTGAGCATCGTACAGAAAGAAATAGCAGCAAAAACAAAAAAAAAAAAACACCTCTAATGGTGGTTATATTACCTTTGAAACCTTTTTAACATACTCTCAAAGGGAACCAGCCACAAACCCTTCTGTCAATACATACAGAGGGAGAAAGAGAGAGAGAGAGATCTTCATACGTACGGAGAAAACAAATAATAATAATAATAATAATAATAATAATAACAGATATAAGGACGAAACAAAGCTTTATGTTACTCAAAAACGTCCAGTATATAAACTTAAAAGGAGAAGAGTATATTAAGGAAAACCAAAAATAGAAAGAACATGGAATGATAAAAGGGACTACAGGAAGGGAGGGAGTGAGGTAGGTGGGGTGGGGGAAAATCCAAATAAAGAAAGACAGATATCCACACAATCTCCCAGAGTTACCGCGAATAATACAGCAGGGCACTAGCAGGGAATCAGAAACGTATCATGCATGACACCTTGTCAACAACACCACCCGCACCTACTTCAGAAGAAAAAAAAAAAAAAAAAAGAATGTTTTCAATCAAATAAAAAAAAAAAAAATACCGAAATAAAAATGAAACGAATACCATTACCACAGAATGGAGTTTACATAACTGCTGTTGGTGACACAAAAGCAAGGCGTTCCTCAACAATATCTTTCGCCCGTTCCCGCACGTACGCCCGTTCTGAAGGCAATACACGCCACGCAGAGAGTTTAAAGAGGAACAACAGTATCAAGACAATGATCGCAACGTAACGGTAGGCTGGAACCCACCCGATCACGTACACCAAGTACGCCGAAAGAAGAATAAGCACGACCACAGACAACACCGTTGAGCATCTGGGAAAACAGAACATTTTTTTTTTTTTTTTTTACGTGATAAAAGTTTGTATTGTGCTTTGTATTTTTATTTAATTCTTTTTTTCTTAGAAGACCTTAGTGTATGTTTTTGTGCGTGTGTGTCTCTGAGTGAGTTTGTGATAAAACTTCTTTTTGTTCTTATTTACAGAAAAAGGAAAACAAAAAGAAAAAAGAAAAATGAGTATTACAACATGGCAATCAAAGTAAAGGTACAGAAAAAAGGAATAACATACCACAAAAAAAAAAAAAAAACGTTTCTATCTATTTATTGTTTTTTGTTAATCTTTTTATTTATACAATGTTTGGTTTACTGTCATCTCATATAATTCTCTTTCACTGACGAGTGTTTGTTTTATTTTTCTTCGTGATCTATACAGAACTCTTACACACACTTTTTGACCTTCATTTGAGCTCACACTCCTTTGTGATACCATTTACACCATTGCAAAAGTTATAAACTATTAACGATAGTAGTGACAACTATACAACCCCAATGAGAAACACAATCGCATACCTTACAAAACCATTCCAAAAGCAAAAAATAAATTCTTTAAGGTACAATTATTGTACTAAAACTGAAGGAGAAACTTAAACGGAAAACGTCATTCTTACACACAACCACAGCTGACAAAATCAAATCATTACAGTTTACGGACACTGATTCAATCAAGAGAATTCCTTATATCATCTTCACTCGGGGTTGTAATACCAAACACTAAGAGTCAAGGTACTTAGAACATTGGCATTGTCCACTTCGCAGTTTTGTGTTGTTTGGCTGAGGGGAGACCACCATATTAGGAAAGCAACCGGTAATGGTTGTCAAAATACCATTTGTGCCAGCAGCTGCAGCACAGCAGAGAAATGGGTTTGGAATGGGCAGCAGTAGCCATAACACCACAAGGACACGCAGCACCTGTTGCAACGACAGCCTTTGATGGAACAGTGATGTCGTTGTATTCTTCTCCTTCTCCCATCGATGCAGTGTTCCAGATTCCCCATAATGCTCGGAGGACATCACGTTGTGTGTGTCGTTACGCACGCAGCACTCTTCTTGCACTTTAAAAAACTGCAGCTCTATCGATTATACTCCTTCTGTGTTCATCCGCTTCATCATGCTGCTTGGTGTACTTGATTACTTATTAGTGGTACATTTCTTGAGGCTATTCTGTGGAGAAAGGAAAAGAACGAAAAAAACGAAAAAAAAAAAAATACCACCTCCACAGTAGTAGTCACCTCATAAGGAAAAAAAGATTACTACATCCGATGTCTTTTTTCTTTTGTATTATTATTTATTCTTGCTTCCTGTGACTGGTGTTTATATGCACAACCTCACAGAATGCAAGACTCTATGCACTTACTTGAACTCATTTTCCCCCCCCCCCCTGCAGATATTACTTGGCTGTCATCCACTGGGCGGCTCCACGCGGCACGCTGGTGGGAGAAGCCGCTCGTCGCGGAGAAGGCCGGTGTGGTCGAATGGCGGTGTGCGGCTGTGGCAGAGGACGTGGTGGAGGAGTTCGAGGGGGAAGAGCGGGAGGCGGTCGGGGAGAGGCGCCGGGAGCCACGCGGGGAGGCGGAAGCGGCCGGCCGGCGACACCTCGCGGCACTCCACCAGCACGTGAGTGGCCGCCCGCACACACGCGTCGTTGCCGTCCAGCGTGGCGAAGGGTGAACTGACAGTATGTGTCTTGTCCTCATGCATGGCAGTAGTAATAGTTGTAGTAGTAGTTGTTGTAGTTGTGTTTTCGAATACAAAGGAGGTGATGTCGTCGCAGCCGCCGGCTCGCAGCACCGAAATAACACCAGAGGCCACAAAAGGTGCGGAGGTGAAGAGTACGACACGCCAACCTTGGAATGGCGGGGGCGGTACTGATCGCAAACCACTCGTTGGATTGCTATTGGTATTATTATTATTATTATTATTATTATTATTATTATTATTATTATGGGAATAATAACGGCGCAGCGGGTTTCGGTCGTACTCGTGCAGACGACCGACAAGCCATCGGCCATGCGTGATGGAGTCGTACACAAAACGTGGCGGCACAATGTACTTGAGTGCGGCGCAACAACCCAAATACTTCTCCGTGCGCTCCATCACTCCCTCTGCAACGACGAGGTGTGTTGTCTTGGGGTTGTACGCACTGCCGTGATCAACAGAGCCACCCAATCGACGAATAGCTTTTGATATTTCACTTTTCTTTTCCCGCAGCGACATGCTAATCTGAAAGCACCACTCACTGGTATCAACCGCAGATTCCTCCATCTCCTCCTCAGTTGTATATGCTCTCCCATGGGAAGGTAAATCGTACTGATATTGAATAACTTGCGAAGGTTGTTCTTGCTCCTTTTGATAACGGAATTCCTGTTGAGATGTGATGACTACTTTAGACGAAGTATATGAACCTGTAAAAGAGTCTACACGTGCTCGTTTTGTTATTTGGGTTGATGACTGCTTATTCTCATCAACCGAACTATTCCAGGCGATAGTCTCTCCACTATCATCTTCTATAGTTTGCCCAACAAATGACGGAAACGAACCACGTAAAACATCACGAGGCACAACATCAGTAGAATTCACTAGAGTGCTTAAAGACAAGGACGTTTCCGTCACTGAGGGACTACCACGTGCCTTAATATCTAGTGCATGCAATAGGGCATCGAGTTCATCATCTACTTCATCACTATCCTCTGAGTCATCATGTCGTTGATGTTCTTGTTGTTGTTGTTGTTGTTGTTTTTCTTGCGAACCTAAGCAAATCCCGTTGTTATTATCCACACGAGACTGTACATATTGTTGTAGCTGCTCTCTTGTTAGTTGTGCGAGGGCACATAAGGCAGTAGGAGGATGCGGTGAGACAAGAACACAACATCCCAACTGCAGCGCTACACTATTCTCAATGTTTTCTCCACATCTTCTCAGTACAACAGCTGTTCTATTAAGACCGCGCGTTATAAGTCCCATAATATCACACTGTGCATCCCAATCGTAGTGAGAAGAAATAGCGAAAACATACCGCGTTGCGTGATTATTTTGATGTTTCGATAATTCTTTTCTTTCAACAGGTGTAGGACTATCATAATGCGGTGTACCACTTTTCCGCTTGTTTTGCAGACGCAATCTCATCTTTATTGCCTCACGCAGTGCTCCCACTGCTTCTGTACACTGTGCATTAACAAACGCCCCAATTTCTTGGGCAAAACTAACAGAGGAATCTATTGTGTGATGAAGGAGTCGCTCAAACATGTAACGTACTAAACCAGCTAAGCCATGCAGTACAAGTGCAGTATGAACAGAGCTGGAATTGTTATTATTATCATCTTTACCTGGGTCATTACTCACTAGATTTATAAGTGCATCATATGCATTATTGATGGCTCCTCGCTCATACACCAATGCCTGTAAGAGTTTTTCATACACCACAGAACGTGTAGAAGTTACAACCTCAGACGCCTTAACAGAATCGTTAAAATGCATTAACTATCCTCGCAATAATTAAAAAAAAAAAAAAGAAAAAAGCGCTTTAAGAAGAAGTGACATAGTCAGGTAAGAGAAAGAAAGAAAAAACAAACCAAGCTTTACGTGTGTGTGTGTGTGTCTGTTTTCATCTTTTGTTTATCATCACAATAATAATAATGCAGATATCCAAGACGGTAATAATAAGAACGTCCGAAGGAAATGAAGTTTAAAAAAGAAAAGCATCATTCATCATATACAGAGCCGCCCAACCAAGCATTGAAATGAAGTAAACGAGATATATATATATATATATATATATATATATAAATATAGGGAGAGAGAAAGATGAAGAGAATATTGAAGAAGGGAAATAAGTACGTAAATGCTCAATACTGGAACTAAAACAAGGAAGCAAAAGGAAGAAGAATAGAAATCTTCAGTCTGTAGGAATTCCACCGCCAGACCCAGGACTCCATGTCGGTAATGGTGGAGCAGGCGTTGAGTTCTGTGCTGGTTGTACCTGTTTCTGCCGTTCATTTTTAGATACCGATACATAAAGTGCAACAAATATAAGAAACAATAAAACGAGAATAATACCAACCAGCATTATTTTGTGTTTCACCATTGTACGCTGCATACGTGTAAGGATTTTACGTGCTTCTGATATCTCTTCATTCACCTCAATGGTGGTGGCATTAATACGATGGAGTGTTTCTGTCTGTGTTCGCAAGTTCCCTAATGCCGCCGTTCCCGTTTCTTCTGTTTCGTTTAATAACTTCTCTGCTCTCAAGAGTGTGTTGGATGCCTGTTTGACTCTCTCTGTGTTTTGCATCATTTGCAGTCGGTGTTTGGCCGTCTCATCATCCAGACCTAATGAGTTGCTCGCACTTCCTGCAGCTGCAGTACCAGCACCTGTTCCCTTCTTCGCCGTGGCGCCCATGAGATCCTCACGATCAGCAGCGGCACACTCCGCGCGGAGTTTCGCAATTTCCTCTTCTAATCTTCTCGCATTCTTTCTGCAGTCCGTGAGGCGTTCCTTCAACAGCGGCCGCTGTTCAACGGCCACGTCATTGCACTCGTACTCCATGTTGTTCAGCAGCTCCTTCACTTGTGTGATGAGGGCTGTGAGCTGCGAGCCGCGCTGCAGGCGACTGCCCGGGCCAGTGGCGGGAACTGCAGGAGAAGAGCCATTGCTACCACGGCCATCTACACCACTGCGGTGAAGAGTCGCACGCAGTTCAGTCATCCCGTCCTGTATATTCTTAACAACATCTCGGTATTCCTCCTCATAGCTCTGGAATAATGTTGACATAATAATACTAACACCTAAGTCTTGTTTTTGCCCTATTTTTGTTTTTGTTTTTGTTTATTTGTTTCTGTTGTATTACTTTTTTTTTTTTTTGCTTTTCAATCAGGAAGGAGGCTTGCGGAAGGAGAAGATAATATCCAAAGATAGAGAGAGTGGGGAAAGTAAGCATAAAAAAGAAAAGAGAAAAATATTACTAATAAAATTATTGAACCACTCACACATAGCACTGTATATATGTATAATCTTTTGTTTTTTTTTTTTTTT